GCCTGATTGTACCGGTCCTTTCATTGTGATAAATTTTCCTGGTCCCTTACAGCATATTTAGATGATGAAAATAACAATCTTCGTTATCGTGTCCTAAGGATCTCAAAAATATTGGAATCGTAGTTGAAGATTTTGAAAAAACAGCAGGTCATTGTTCCACTTTTCTCTTTAGAGAAAGTATGTACCTGTATTCTCCAAAAACTACTTTTCCAAAAAATCAAAAAGCGCTTTTTGAGATACCTTATGAGGTGCCACAAAAGGCAGCCATTCAAATAATGGCAAAACGGTCACCATGAAAGTTAAGATCCGCTAATGAATGTATAACAGTTTTAATCAGTTTTTGATTAAACTTTAGCCACCAAGACTGGTGAAAATACATACATGTCTCCTCAGCTTCATATTCAAATAGTACTGCCGCCGAAATATGAATGAAATATTGCCTACTTGGTGTAAAACAAAAACAATCAATCAAATAGCACTGTTTTAAAAAAGATTAACTAAATCCAAGAAACTGACCTTTCCGTCACTAAAATTTGCACCATACCTGTAGTAGTTTTTGTCCATGTCGCTGACAAGAAATACCCTTTCCTCTAACTGTGACATTAAATGGAGCAGGAGAAATTCCGAGAACTAGTGTTTGCATTCTCATCCAAAGTAATGGCGGGTTGTCTCCTTTAATTGGTAAGTTAAAACAAGAACTATTTTCCTTGTCTAGTAGCAAATGTAATTTCGACAAGATTATTCCGTATATATCGTTGTAAATGTCGGGGTCTTTCACAGTAATATTGCATAATCCTGTTGTAGTGTTACCGAAGATAGCTGACACTTCATGGTTATCGCCAAGTGTGAATTTTTCTTGAACAATTCTCAAGTCAGCGCTGATGGTGAGATTTACTTTAGAAGAAATAGAAGTTGCAACACGATCAACGTACCTTAAAGTTACGTCCGCTTTATTTTGAATTGACAAAGAATTATTAAAGTAGTTAACGTCAAATTTATAACAGGCAGGATATGGTGTTTCGATAATATAACGAACGTTTTCAATAACCACTGCCGACTGCATATCACCTGTTAGTTTCTTTGTCAGAAGGATGAGGTCCAGTTTATCTGCTCTTCCATCTGGTATTTCTAACTTCAGCACAATACTGGAGTTTCTTGACTTCGGTAATGTTTCACACGGCAGTACATCTGAGATACTCACGTTTGAAGAAACCTTAAAAATTACAAGAGGTAAATATTAAACTTAAGGATGACGTTTACTCAGGTTTCAGAAAACAGAAAATTTTATAAAGAATAATATGTTAAATCAAAAATTGTTCTAAATGGATAAAATTACGAAGTTTAAACTCAATATCAATTTTAAAAATTCATATTTTAGTATTTGAAGAAAATATACAAGAAAAAAAGTCAGTGTATGGTAATGCAGAGGAAATTCGGACTAAATTTTTAATTTTTTCATTTTTGTCAAAATCTTTTATTTCTTGCAATATTAATCACAATGTAAAGGTTACATGTATCTTTAGAAATCATTTTGCAAATTTTATATGTCTTAAAACTCATAAATTATTTCAAATAATTGAATGCTATTAAATAAAGAAATTCAAAAATATGACCAAAAACCATTCTAGGCAACATATCTCAATAATTTGATCATTGACCCCATATAATGTTAATACCATGAGAATTACGGCAACAAAGGTAATATGAGGCTATAAATAATTTAGAATTCTTATCAGTCAGATTTTTTAAATATTCGATTAAAAATGGGGAAAAAATATAAATATGAGAGAGGAAATTCGGACTTTAATAATTATCAAGTTTATGGCCAAAACTCTAATCGTTTCTTTATATGAAGCAACACTGTCCCATTGCTATAATATTTCGTTATTTAAAGAGTTTTGTTGCTTGTAATATTTTGTGAGTGAAGAAAAAATTGTTCATAGAGTGAAAAATTGAGGTATTTCCCGCGAAATACTCAGGGGCCACTAGCATGAAAAGTAGGTCATTGACCTACTTATTTGAAATTGAAATTTAACACAAGAATTATAGGTGTACAATGTGCAATAGGTGGTTTTTAGTTCTTATCAGTGGAATTTTTAGTCATCTGAGTAAAGGTATACCTTAAAGCGAATATTTATATTCATATTTTTTCTCAAGTAATTCCTTTCACTTATTTACAGAAAGAAGGCCATTTTTATGAAATTAAGTCTTGACGAAGACTGTTTTGCGCTCGCGTGCAAAAAAATTAAATTTATTCTAACATGTCTTTATCAAGCAGAGAAAAAATATCTTTATCAGTTAACATCCACTTAAGTTATTTAGCATGTATGTACTCCACAGTATGCACAGAAGAATGTTTTCCAGAAATTCGGAGATTGAATATATGGTAATACTCAGACATGTTAAATAGTGATCTTTTCTGACATTTCATTTATTCCTCCTCTGATTATATAGAAGTCTATGTTAGCGCTTCTCCCGATTTATATTATTTCAGTGGGTTTTGAGCTTTATTATGTCATAGCATTGAAATTCTACGAATTCTACTACCTATAAACCCAATGTTTTCAGACCGAGTAGCGAGAGGGCAACTTAACATTTTTTCAAAGGTTGGCCTTCCTGTTCGTTATCTCTACAATATATTGAATAAAATCTGTTGCATATATTATTTGACAAAATGAAACGTGCCACTGGTGCATTAGTGTGTGGACTTACATTTAGAGATGGGTCTTGTACGAAAAGGTCTACAGATGTATTCCATACTGGGGCATCATTGAGTGTAATAGTTGCTGTCAAGGTATAATAGTTAGTTGCTGTCAAGGTATAATAGTTATATAACCCTCTCTTGGCTGTGTCGGACATCGCTACAAGTACCTCAAACTCAAGAAGGTCATCATCTGTTGTATTCTTATTTTCATAATACCCTTCAAAAACACGAACACACTTACTTATTTATTATATTTACACCGCAAACACACTTACTTAATATTTATTATATTTACACAGCAATTTCTTATTCAATAGTTTTCAGAATGCTATCAATTTTTTTTTTCACATTCGAATGCAGATACAGAGTATGTAATTAACGTTTATGGTCCCAATAGATATTTTTTAGAATTCTTCAGAATATATTCGTGGATAAACAAACATATTGTGCATACACTTTGGCACATCAAACGTTTCAATAGTCAATCTTTTCCTTTTGCATTCCATAATTTTTATTTGTATTCTATAATTTTCCATTTGCATTGTAAAATTCTATCTATTTGTATTGTATAATTTTTCTTTGTATTTTATAATTTTCCCATCTGTATTGTATAATTTTTCTTTGTAATGTATTATTTTTAGTTGTTGTCTATAATTTTCCATTTGTATTCTATAATTGTTTTGCAATTGTCAACACAATATGACTAAATCTTGACCAATGAAATCCTTCGTAACGAAATAAATAAACAATCCCTCTGATACAATACAAATGAAAAATTATCGAATACAAACAAGAAATTATATAATACAAATAAAAATTATACAATGTAAATGGAAAATATAGAATGCAAATGAAAAATTATACAACTCAAATGATTTTTTTGCAATTCAAATGGAAATTATAGCATGCAATGAAAAATTATACAATACAAATGGAACTTTTGCAATGAAAATGGAAAATTATAGAATACAAATAACAAGCATATGAAAAATTTGGCCATGCTGTTTTTACAATACAAATGGAACTTTTACACATGAAAATGGAAAATTTTCAAAGATTTTTCTATATATATTTCAATGTAAAACTTGGATTCCCCATTATGTCCAACCCTACCCCCAGTGGTCAGGATTCGGGAAATTTAGAATCAACATGTACATTATTCCAGGATACTTCCACAGAAGTTTCAGCTTTTCTTGCCCAGTGGTTCTTGAGAAGAAGATCTTTAAAGTTTTTTCCTATATATTTTTATGTAAAACTTGGATTCCCTATTATGGCCATATATTTGAACAATTCAGAATCTACACTACCCCAGGATGCTTCCACATAAGTTTCAGCTTTTCTGGCCCAGTGGTTCTTGAGAAGAAGATTTTTAAAGAATTTTCCTATATATTTCTATGTAAAACTTTCAACGGCCATTGTGGCCCCACCCTACCCCCTTGGGTCATGATTTGAAGAAACTTGAATGTACACTACATGAGGATGATTTCACATGAGTTTCATCTTTCCTGGCCCAGTGGTTCTTGAGAAGAAGATTTTTTTTTAAAAATGCCATTAATTTTTCACTAATTCATAATTATCTCCCCTTGGAAAAGGGCGTGGCCCTTCATTTGAACAAACTTGAATCCCCTTTACCCAAGGATAATTTGTAGCAAATTTGGTTAAAATTGGTCCAGTGGTTCTTGAGAAGAAGATGAAAATGTGAAAAGTTTACGACAACGACGTCAACGACGACGACGACAGACAATGGACAAATTTTGATCAGAAAAGCTCACTTGAGCCTTCGGCTCAGGTGAGCTGAAAATTATACAATACAAATGGAAAAGATAAAGCAGCGTTTGACATGCAATAATAAACTGTGCCATATACATGTATTTGTAAGGAGTTATTTCCTGCGGATCTACCTCTATTGATCCATTGGGATGGAAATGTGTGAATCAGAGGCTGCTGAGAAGTAGACCATCTGGATTTACAGGCCGAATCATTCTTACCATCAGCACCCTAATAATATAAAATAGACTAAATATCTATACAGGACAAGGAAGCGACAAATCGACAAATTTATCAAATGAGAGATTTGTACAGAAAAACATATCCTTTTCCACAACACATATTATATCATCCCTATACTCCAATATCACTTAGAGAACCATCGGCCCTTTGGTGATATTTGGTGTTTCAGACTCATACAGTGTATGGTATGAAAAAAGGATTTATTTATAAAGTTGCCCACGTATACAGTCTGGCATGGTCTTCCCTCTAGATCATATGTCAAAGGCCGTTATTAGGGGTCAATGTATATTAAAACTATGAATGCAGGGACAAGTTCATTTTAAAACATTTTTTCAGAAACAGAATGAATCCAATACAGGACAGAAAGAAGTAAACTTACTGGAGAAAAGTTCTTTCCAACTTTTGTAACCTCTAAAAACAATGCAACATAATCAGACTGAAATTTCTCATCTCCTTCCAACTTGACTTTAATTTGTGGATTGTAATATGGAATCCAAGCTCGGAATACGAATTCTTTAACCACTTTCGGTTCAATGTAAATCCGGAACGGAGTTGCTGGACCAAAAGAAGCAGTTTTATTCATTTCCTGAAAATCAAGATGTGTTTGTAAAACACTGATGCCCCCGTATGGCTACATAACGAAGGTGGTTAAATTTTCTCAAATGCAAATCAAACATCTCTCAAGAAATACAAATGTGATATATAAAACCATAGCACCACCTGTTCAAAAGTTATGGCCAAGGTTAACGATTTTTAAAGGTAGGTAAAACTCTGGAGTCAAGGTCAAAGGTCAAGGTTGCCGTTTTCTGAAGAAAGACCTTGTCACTAGGATTGCCTATGGGAAGTAAACAGTAGCCCTAAACATTCAAAAGTTATTACCAAAGTTAAAGTTTTTTAAAAGTAGGTCAAACTCCAGGGTTGAGGTCAAAGGGTTAAGGTTTTTATAAAATATAAAAGCCATAATCCCACCCAGTCAAAAGGTATGGGAAAGGTTAAAGATTTTGCAAACAAACAAACAAACAGATAAACAGATGAAAGGACTTGTCACAAGGATTACATACATGTATGTGAAGTATGAAAGCCCTAAACCTTACCGTTCAAAAGTTATGGCCAAGGCAACAGACAAACAGCTAGTAAGACAGACAGACGGACAGGGCAAAAACTATATACCCCTGTAAACGAAGTTTCAGGGCATAACAATTGAAGTTTTAATATTTGTTTCTTTTGAGATTAGAATTTTAAATCTCCACCACGATATTTACTCAGTACTTGTTAAATTATCCAAGAAAAACATAACTTTAATCGAATGTCTTTCATACAATGTATAAGATGTGTATTATTTTTAACTAAAAATTTACAAATACATGTAACAATCTGGCCTATCCATAATGTTTGGAGTAGTGAACTTGAAAGTCCGATCTAGTTGGTTCGTTATATTAATTTTAATTGATTTATAGCTTGTAAATTGTTAAACGTCTCATTGAAAAAAAAAGCTACTCATACAGAGACATCACAGTATGCCGGTGACGGGCTTGGAATTAAGACTCAGCACTCAAGGCCATTAGGTACACAGGGCTAGGGTTCTTCATCATATCAACGAGTGTCTTGACACGGACCTTGCTTTTTAAGATTTCAATGAAAGACCCGTGATTTTCACTTTTTTCCGGGTGTTAGTCACTACCTTTATTTACGTTCTAAGTTTAACGCGGTGCGTTAAACAATCCATAGCCTTCAATCTCGAGGCGAACGCCAAACCAATAGGCTACCGTGATCGGTTATAATAAATGAAAATTGAAATTCTGAATTTACGAGTTTGTTTTGAATTGTGAAGTAAATGGGTTTGATTAATAAAATATGCAGGCATTTAACTTTTCAAGAGTTTATATGTGTGACATTTTCCAACTTTAAATAAATATTTTATATCTACCAGAATCGATGTCCTTGCTATGAAAAATGCAGCAGTCTCAAAATTCTGAACAATGGATGCCGGGGATGTAACCTGTACCAAACAGGGTATAGAGATATTCTGTCTGTCTGTGAGGTTAACGGCGTTATGAAGATATATGTCGTAGTTACAAACCAGCTGATAATCACTCTGGATATCAGAAAACGACACATTGGCTGACTTTATGATGAAAGACATCTCATGGGTTCTCAGAAATCCTGTCTGAAATTGAATCATGTTAATTCACCATTTTTAAATCAGGAAGGAGAGAGAAGGAGGGAGAGAAAGGGGGTATTTTTCATGTCGAATATCACTTTCTTCAACATTTAAACACTTACAGTTATAAAAAGAATCATCTTGATTTAAATTTTATCTACTTGACAATAACGGTGATCGATGAAAAAACCAAGCAGACAGAGAATTTCCAGTAAAAGTATGTCTATCTGTAAGCACCAAGACACAAATTATTGAAGTCTTTAAGGTGGGAGCTAGGGTACAGTCACAAATACTGTGCAGGAGAAATATACTCACCGTTTTAATTGATTTACCAATATCTTTAGGTAACTAAAATTTATCTTGTCTTCTTATATTGTCTTCTTATTTATTTATTTATGTAGTGTATGTATTCCTGTATTTTCTCTAGTTAACTCATTACAGGATAGTAATATTGTAACATGATTTATTCTATTGACTCATAAGGATGTATTCGCTTTAACAAAAGAATTGACCTATAGGAGAGAACAATTTCCCGGAAAAAACGACATTTAAAAATCAATCTTGATTTGTTGTTTTCTACCGTATACATGTCTACATTTTTCAAATTTGTATTTGATACTTCAAATTTATTATTTACAACTTTACAATAAACCTCCAAAGTTGATCGAAACACCATTTTGTCCATAAAAGCATTGATTTTTGCATGAATTTTGGCCTTGAAGTCCTTCAGGCCAGGCCTGCCCCTAAATAAAATTGTGATATTTTGATAGGTTAGGATGTAAGGAATAAATTAAGATAAGATTTTTTTTAGGGGCACCCTTGCCCTGGGGTCGAAATTCACAAAAAACCTACCAAAAATAAGGAAACCTGATTTTCATCACCTGCTTGAAATTTATGCCACTCATTCTTATAGTCAGACGAGCTCAGTTGATATAAACGTTGACTTTTTGCACCTTGAATACTTTCTTTTTAAAGTCGGGGGTTCGAATCCACCTGGTACAACACTTTTAAACTTTTAAATTTCGCCTTTTCAAAGACTATTTAGATTTTTTATATAGATTTGTGTATTTTTCCTTCAATTATTTATCCTTTATGCATGCCCATTCTTGATATATAAGAAATACTAAAGAGATGTCAAATCGTAACAATCCAATGTACAGTTCTCAGTCAGGCGGAACGAACCTCAGTATAAGCACACTTTCTTCGAGGACAAGAATAACTCACTCTGTGTTACTCAATACAGGTATTCATGGCAGCATTGAGCTGCAATGAATTTCAATTGTATATATTCCTTATAATTAAATCACATTGATTTTGGCTACATATTTCAGTAAATGCACTCCCTTGGATTTCATTTAGGCCTATATAATTTGCAAACATTAATGGCATGTTTTATTATATCCACGGATAAATGGCCTAGACATGAAGAACAGAATTTCAGAGACAGTAGACACTACCTTTATGAACCATGAGAAGTAAAGACAAATATCAGTTAGTATTTATGGAGATAACAAACTCAGAAAATCAATGAAAGGGTTCCTCCTACCTCTACCAACTGAAATAAAAATTTAGGAAAAACAAATTATTATATCTATTTAGCCTAATGTCATTAATCGGAACGGAAATCGACAAGCCTTTTGTAGAGAAAAAACCAAGCCCGGTCCTATAGGTCAGATCCCTATTTATAATGAAGTGATCCTTTGATGTTCGAATAGAGATAACAGTTTTATGAGAGCATATTACAATTTAATATCATGAACACATTGGATCTCGGAAAAACAAATATAGTTTCGAGTTACTGTTCTCGTTTTTCAGCGTTTATATCCCTGATAATTATTTAATAATTCAGTTGAATTAATTCATTGAATAAGTATCAAAGGCAACCATGGCTAACTTGAAAAATCTAGCCATTGGAAGTAAATTATTGAAAAGGTTATAAATGACAATTTCATCATCTATGTTGTATGTTTCAGTAAGTTATTTAAGGAATACTAGTAAATTATGCATATAAAGAAAATAAACTTACATTTTCATAATTCACTGAAGTCTTTTCAGAAGTCTCCCCCTGTATGGCCCTTCCTAATACACAAGACTGACTTTCTACATCAATGTTATGAATACCCTGACTGACCGTCAGTATGACCTCCTTATAATAGCCTTTAGGGAAGGAGACATACACCTTCAGTTTCATTTTCATTCCTACATGCATTTCAGATTTATTGTCAGGCGTCCTTACAGCAGATATTTGAAAATCGGAAGGTTGCACATCTAAAATGATTCACTTGTTGTATGTATAAGATTGAAATATTAATCGTTTTATTGTTATAGAATGTGAGTTTGTTGCATTTAAAACCGTTAAATTTAAATTAAATTTTTTTTTCATACAAAGCATATATTCATTAAATGACATTTCAGCTATGTTTTACAATAAACTAAATCACTGATTATAAAAGTTTTCGTTCCTATATGATTTAACTTCTTTTAAATCAAAGACTGAAAGATCTATCAAATTTATGCATTCACGTCTTAGAGTTCCGTTTAAATCTAAATCTGCAGTCGTTCCATTTTGCATCGAAGTCGACGTTGTTGTATCATGCGACCCAGTGTGCATTTCATCAGAAACAAACATCGCATCAGATGTTGAATTCGCAGATTGGGTTCCTGTAATGCAGTATATAAAGTTTAAGCATTTTTGAAAGAAGTAATGGACACAATACAACAGGTCAATGATTGCTCGTCATTTTTTTTTTAATTTATTTATAAAGCATAACGTACACGAAAATGTTCCATTGTATGATTTTTTTTTTCATTTATTTCACTAACTAACTAAAAAAACAAACATGTAAAGGAAGCCTTATTTTAAGTAGGTTCAGTCTTTAAATAGGGATTTCAACATGAGAATTTTTCTAATGTTTTCAAGTCTGATTTTGGGCATATAATTTAGTATGAAGTTGAATGTTTCAATACATTTTGGGGTTTCTTACAATCATGTTATTTATAGATGTATAAATGTTCCATGATCTGAATCATCTTTGACATTATTTCATGTCGTACATATGTATGTGCAAAATAAAAAAAGTCTGTTTTATCAAGTTTTCAACACTAATAATAAGAATATTAGAATCTTCTTTGTCTTCATCTTCTCATTTCTTTATTCAGGTTGAATGCATGTATTGACGTTAGGTTACCATTCTTTAAAATAAAGCTTTAAATATCTGTGTTTTGTAAATATTTCTATCAAAAGTATATCTTTAGAAGTAAGACTGTCTTCGCCAGATGTGTCTTGATTGTTAATGCCAAATTACAAAAATTGCATTATTGATAAATAAAAGCTTATCGCTTATATCTGAATAAAATAATTATTAATGGAAAAATCGAATTCATATTTTTAGAAAATGATGAAATTTGATATTCTTATATTGAAAATCCCATAAAAACACATATCAATGATGATACATAATTAATGTTGCAATTTATCACCTGTCACACACGTACATGTATCCAGATTTAAAAACGACACTGTCAAAAATTTTGCATTTAGATTATTTACAATTAAATCAATTTACAAAAAAATTTGTTTTTAGATTATTTACAGTCAAATCAAGTTATACATTAGAGGAAAAACGAGAAATGTCCGTAAAACACTAAAGCTCGCGTATGGCAGCTCATGAAAAGGGTTGAATTTTCTTATATGCACTCTAACTCCAAAGGTCAAGGTCAAAATTTTTGGTACCCAAAGGAAGGCTTTGTCAAATGAAAAACACCTGTGATATATGAAAGCCCGAGTTTTAATTGTTCAAAAGATATGACCAAGGTTTTAAAAAGTGGGTCAAACGCTAAGGTCAAGATCAAAAATATTTATACATACTGAAACGTGTTGTCACAATAAATATATATACTCCATATGTTTTAATGTGAAGATTGAAACCCCAAGCACCAACTGTTCAAATGTTATGACCAAGGTTAAGATGTGATAAATGTTTGTGAAAGTGGGTCAAACTCGAAGGTCAAGAGATTAAATTTGGTGGTATCCAAAGAAAGGTCTTGAATACACCTGTGAAATATAAGTCATAGCTCCATCCACTCAAAAGTAATGGGCAAGCTTAAAAAGTTTTTGCGGACAAACAGATAGACAGACGGACGGACATGGTAAAAACTATATACCCCCGAATCTTTGATTACGATGGCATTAAAAAATCTAAACCCTGCGAGTAAAAGTGAAAATTAAACTAGAGTTTCCGATGCAAATTGATTCAATAAGCTGTATCAGGATAATGTAGAGTATTTTCTAAATAAGCTTGAGAAAAATAAAAGACCGTACTAGCAAGGGAGTTGTTTTAGGACTTCTGAAGCGGTTTAAGTAACAATTAATACCTTTTTAAACTTTAGTTTTATCTTTTTCTATATAGGACAACTATGTGTAATTACATACTGCTTATTGCCACTACCAGTGTTCATTGGTCATGTTGCCCAATCTGTGTATTTTATAAACATATTGATTAAACATTATTGGAGCAATACTATTTCAAGAGGAACAGAGAGATTTTTATATTGGGCAAGAAGAATTCGGAGAATTTGCAATCTGAAAAATACACGTTCTAAAACTCCAAAACTTCCTTGCAATCAAGATAAATAAAGAGCTATTATGACAAGTAAAGCCAGAAGAAAAGAATAATTTTTACATCTTTAAAAATAGATGAAATAAAATATCTTTAAGAAGGGTAATTATACATGTATGCTTTGATCTCTTTTGCATATGCCCTCAAATTCCATATTTAGAAATATAGACGATGTACGGACAATTACCAATAATCTTTCACGTTCCCGCGTTGATTCGATATACCCCTTTGAACTCGAAACAAGAGACAGTCCAACATATCTGTTTTATATCTGGATATTTTTCTATAAAATTGGCAACAACGAGTAGCATTAAGATATGATGACTTAAACTTTACTTTAATCAACTTCTCTTGTTTATGTAGCTTATACATGTATATGCCTTGTCACCTACGAATGGAGTTTATACCTCCCAGTTGATTTTATGCGCAAGAGCAAGAATAAAGAATCTATGGCAAATTATAAATGAAGCAAAGATCTTAACAGTCTTTTTACAGTATCTTTTTTTTTATTTTCTGATTATGACAAAAGGCACACAGCATATGATAACGGTCGACAGGAGATCCTTGCTCACTCCTCCATGACACCTGATCACCTTTTGGGGATGTTTTTGAGGTCCTTTCTCTGCTCCACTTTGTAATTTTTTAATTTCTTTTTTGATACTTTGTCATTTAAATAATAAAAGATATAAGAAATTTTATCAGAACTTGGTATATTTTCGTATTGTTTCTAACAATATTTAATTTGATTTAACATTATACTAGACGCTAATAAAAGTATGTAACCCATTCCTCGTAAATGGCATTCGCTTTTCGTGTTCTGTTTTCAAGAGAAAATATTCCTTTCTTTTCCTGTCCTATTAAAATTTCTTCTGGGTCTACCATTTTTTATCATTGTTAATTGGTGTGTTCAAATATATGTATATTGAATATCCATAGATGCACAGCGACAATTAGCAGCAAACAGTAAGCTGGATTTTGTATTTCTTTCATTGTCTGAGATTGATTTTTTGTTCAATGAGATGTATACTTTTTTAAAATTAGTAACAGTTTTCATAGCATGTATTTTCCTTATTTTTACAGCTTCTCGTCGTTGGTTATATATATATTTAACAATCCTCAAAAATTTTCCAAAACAAATTGAATGAAATGTGAAGAAATATGAGCTATTGAAAGAAGACCGTTTGATAATTTTTATTTAATATAAAAAATTAACTCTTATTTTCCAGTTTCTTTTTAAAGATTGGGCCAAATGATTTGATACTATCAGAATAATTATTAAAGAACCTCTGCAAAATTCCACTTCGTTTTGAGTGAAATTGCATGTCTTAATCTATCAAGAAATGTTTTCGATAAGGAATAAACATTTTTTTAGGTAGAAAAAGCAACAACAACAACAACAACATAAGTCCAAAGAAATGCAAAAAATCTCAATCATTAATTTTTTTTAGATTTACAAATTATGGATAGATCTATAGCAAATATTATTTTTGGGGTTCGAAAAATATTTAAACATCAAATGATAATATTTTGTAGAAAGGAAAATACTTCAATCGATCCAATTACTGATGATGTTACAAGTACTTATTTATACATAGTATCGCTTTGTTACTATTTCTTTCTTTTTATCACCATAACTATCACGATTAATGATATATTATTGCATGTGTATAAAGTGCTGTTTAATCTTATTATTTGTTTATTTTTTTTCTTTCTCGTATGCTTATTCTTATTCTTAATGTAACTCAACAAAGAAAAAAAAACTTACCTTGGTAAAATAAAGGAAGGATGGAATAAAATAATAAAATTGAAGGAAAAGGTCCCATCATCAGACATATAGATATAAAAGATACTTTGTGTACTATATAATTACACGACTCCTAGAGATCTACTACTGCTAATGGTGCCAAACCAGTTAACTTATATTGAGAAATCAAATCAATTTAACCTCCATCATGCAAATATGCATCCGGGCATCTTCTCTTATTTTTAAAAGCAATAACTTGTCTCATCAATTAAACTTGAAATGAAACATTAATGTTAGTAGTTTCTATTTAAGTTACAATTTTGTAAGTTTTATGGTCAATACAATGATCTTGTCAGCAAATGCAATTTCTCATTAAGTCAAATTGCAGAGTGACGTTTTTTTTCATACTCATCGTTAGGCCATTATTTACACACTGAATTGACGGCAGATTTTCCCGTTATTTCCCGATCATAACAAGGAGCACTCGGCGGGTGTGACCGGTCTGCAAGGAATGCTCACGCTTCCCTGATCCCCCTCTAAATATTTTGGGCGTCCGTGATTACTTTGCTCCAAATTTGAATTGTTCAATGGACTTTTGAGATTAAATACTGTTTGTTTTCTCCATATGCATGTCTTTTATCAATTACTACCTTCTAGAGTGAGTTCCAAGACCTGTAGACGCCATATATTTTTTTTAAAGGATCGATGTCCGATTATTCCCTTGACGTGCTGCCGGTAAGTGAGCAACAGGCTTTGCAACAGATCGAGTGTGGACAGCATGATTCAACACGTACAATGGCAGTCATCCGAAGAGCGTATAATCGAATTTCTATAGACTCGTACCATTTTATAAATTAGTTCATGACAAAGATGCCAACACCAAGTGTGACTGACTCAATCCACCATTACGTCGATCACGACATACTCATCAAAAAGCCTACCAAATACCATTTTGCAAGAGTGATTATCAAAATACAAAAAAAATCATATTTTTCTCGAACCATCAAGGATTGGAATAATTTACAACCAGGGATAACCTCGGAGAATACACCTGACACCATTAGGTCTCAGTTGATCGCCAATGTGGGTAATATACTCGACAGAAGCAATGACATGTTATGGAAACAATAGACAAATATAATACTTCTGGGTGCGGTGCACTTTTTGAATCAAGTGAGACTTTTATGACTGCTGCCTGGGAGCCAAAGCACGAGGACGTTACCAGCAGGATTGTGAAGGACCTGAACGCTACCATAGCTTTTATATCAGACTAAGATACATCGTCTCAAATCACAGTTCGGGGTCCGCATATAGGTTTCTCCTACCCGTGGCTACTTGATCACATAAATTGTCGTAATCTGGAATATTTACGTCTCTATGCTGTGATGTCATGTTCAGCCAATGACAATTGTTTCCATTCCGATTGAAATCGACATTGACATCATCAAAACACAAAACTATTTCGTAAACTGCGATTGAGTATTAAATAGTAGCGACAAAGTTTATTTTTCGCCTGTGTCTTGTTCGCAGTGGTCATTATTTTAAATAAGTACGAAATATTCTCTTCTCATTCAACCACGGTCAGAATTTAAGGGGATCGTACATTTTGGCCGTGGTTTCCGATGATTAAGACATCGGAATGCAAAAACAATGAGATAGGCAACCAATACAGGTAATATCAAAGAAGAGGGGTTTAAAAATTCATGTCCAAGGAGTGATTGAGAGCAGATCAGACGGATGGATCTGGGAGGATGGTAACCGTCCTCTGCTCTGACAGAGCCGATGTCCGGCACGTGCACCATGAGGGAATGCGATCATCCTTAAGAAAGGTTTCGAGCAAGGCTTAGTGGAGTGGACGCCCATAAAATTAAATTGAGTGAAAGAGTAAAGTACATACACATCAACATAACCATCATCAGTGTGAAAGGCACCAGCAAATCAGATCAGCGAAGAGATGAAAGATGATTTCTACAAACAGCTAGAGACAGAGAGAATCATTAACACCATGAGAGATCTAAATGCGAAAGTGTGACAAAACAACACTAATTATGAGAGAGTTAAAGGTAAACATGGAATAGGGGCAAAGAATAACAATGGAGAGAGGAATTCTTTTTCTCTGTCATATGGGAAGACCATATGAAGTGCAGATCTTTGAAGCCGCCACCATTTGTATTTTTTCTCTTTTAAGGAGGTTTGATCCTCAGCTTTTGAGCAGATTTTGGTCTGGACCTTTGTTTCTAGAATTCTGCATCATTTTATAAGTTTTAACATTTTATCTGGATTCTACAAGGCAAATTGAACTATGTTCAATGAAAAAAAAAACCGCGATTAAATGCCATTCAAGTTGGATTAAGCCAGGAACTATACTTGGTGGCGGAAGTTTTTTAGAAGAAAACGCAGGTTGCACTCAAAGCTGTTTTTTTTTTTGCGGTGAAATGTGTTATGCTTGTAACTTCCAAATTGAAACTTTTTCTTAGTCAGAATTTTAAAATGTCTTTTTTTAAATAGACTTAGAGTTCGTTTTGTTCCATGCTTTAACTGGATAAAAATATTGGAGCAAAACGTCGACGATGTAATTTTTATTTAAGACACAAATTTCAGTGCAAAAAGGTCATATGAAATGTACTGTATAGCCAAAAGAAGAATATTGACCCCCGTTTGACCTATTTGCTGAAATTCAGCAATAGTTTAAGACTTCAGAAGAATTTTCTTGCTTATTAATTTTTCAATGCCAGAAAAATAACATTTTCTGAGTGCAGAAAGGTCAAATAATTGATAATACGAAGTAATTTGAAACTTTTTCTTGGTCACAATTTTAAATTGTCTTTTTAAAATAGACTTACTGTTTATTTTGACCCATGCTTTATTTGTATAAAAATATTGGAGGCATCAAAGATGTAATTAAGACACAAATTTCAGTGCAAAAAGGTAAATGTACTGTAGCGCCAAAAGAAGCAGATTGACTTCCATTTTTTGATTCGATTTTTTGTTAAGTTATGTAGGTAGAAACTAAGAATATACTTGGCAAAAAATATTTAAGACTTTAAATAAGGGAGTCAATCTCGTTTAAGATGAAACTGAAGACGTGTACGAGCAGGTCAACCACTCGATCTGTTGTGATTTGACATATAGGGACTGAGAGACATAAGGGTGAGCTGTGCTTTTGTTCAAGGCTTGAGAAACAGATTCAAAGATTTACAAGATTTAGAAGATATAGGAGATCAAGAGGGAGAGGGGTATATACAGGATGGATACACATCACCACACTGTACACAGAGAAGAGCAAGGAGAAAGTGGCATACTGCAAAGGAAAGGAGAGGCCAAAGATTAATATTACAGACCAAGATGACGAGATTGCAGAAAAGCAAGGGAGAATTTAGAGAAATGAAGTGATTTGCATGTTGAGATTAGAGGCTATTGAACAACTGCATGGCAGCAGAAACAGAAGCGGCGGCAGCGAAGGGAGAACAGAGAAAGTGCATGCATCTTGAAAGTTTCGGGGGAGCACAGCTGTGGCTGCTAATGACAAGGAAGGAAAGCTACTTACAAATACGGAAAGAGGAAGAAAGTGGCCAGAACATTTCCAGACATTTCAGAGACCACAGAAGACTCGAATGTAGATACTGATCCACCAAGGAAAGAAGAGATAATTACTTCTATCAAAATCATCATATCGAGAACAACAAGTCACAAGGTCAAGAGGATGAAATTAAAGCCATTTCATCTTGCAACAATTTCAAAGAGAACAAGGTAAAAAAAAATGGATATGTTGAACAGTGTTCAACCATCTCATCTCGCAACAATTACAAAGAGAACAAATTAAAAAATAATTGAAGATGTTGAGTGTTCAACCTCAAAAGTCCATTTAAATAATACAAATCAGAAGCAGAGCAAACATGGATCTTTAGATTGTCACTATATGCCTTACATTTTTATTAAGTACGCTAGATCTTAAACATGAGAGGGAGCAAACATGGACTTCTAGATCTTAAACATGAGAGGGAGGATCCGGCGCCATTGAGGAGTGAGTATCCTCTGCCAAATCCAGGAAATAAATTTCGTAGCAATGCTTATTTTCTTAACAAGAATCATACTTGTTTTTAATATTCTTTATTCATACATGTAGCGTATAATGCACAAATTTGACTGTTTAAGAAACGCTTAAAGACAACACAAAGAACATTACATCAAATAATAGAAAACACTATGTAGTAAGAGTCCTATGGTCCTGTCATTATATACTATCATAAAAATTCTCCTGATACAACACAAGTAAAATTGAAACAAAATTATACCTTTTTTATAACTGCATCACTTGCATTCTTGTGAAGTTTGTTTTTACATTATATAGAAAAGAAAATATTTTTAAAGAAAAGAGAAACATATCTTTAAATCTTGGTTATTTTGTCTGCTATTGTATATTTTGATTTAATAAATGAATGTAATATTTTTTTCCTTTGACCGAAGTATCCAAGAAAAAAAATGGATGGAATACCGATTTTTTTTTTGATACTTCGATCAAATGAAAAAATATTACATTCATTACTTATTATCAAATTATGATTTTAAATTAATAAAATGAAACTTTTTTTGATTTTACTATGAAATTTACGCATCAAAAACAGTGCATATGAATATATCACAACAACGTTAACGTTGTTGAAATTCAAAATGACTAAGTTATAGGCCTAACGAAAAAACAAGTTCTCCAATATTGCAGTGTCATTAACAACCTTCTCAAACAAACTTAAAGACAAAACTGTAAACAACTTATAAATTGATATTAGGGTTTTCAATTTTTTTTAAAATAATAAAAGTGGGGACTTTGACAAGTATAGTTCCGGCTGCTTAGTGCAAGCGAACTCTAGATTCCATTGATGCAGTTATAAAAAGAATTTTTTTTATCCCATCAGAATCAAGTACTATAGAAATTAAACGATTTATATATCAACAAAATTAACATTTTCTAAAATTCAACTTGTTATACAGTAAACCACAATTCTAAGCCTAGCTTGAGGTTTGTAAAACTGAGTTAAGAAACTCGTCGTTAGAATAAGTTGGAGAGCTCAGTATACAAAATAAGTGTTTGTGGCATGGATCGATCCA